ATTTATTGATTTTTTTTATCATATTCGTTATCATATTTATTAAATAATTTCTTTAGGCCTCATGGTTGAAAACATGTATAAAAAAGGCTTAATTCATGATCTGCAATAGAAGTAACATAATTAGTAAATTTTGGGGGATCGTCACTATTAAATGGTTACAATTGACCAACTTCCAAATATTACACAGAATGTTAAATCATATGATACAAAAAATCTCAAATAATATTTTTGACATATTTTTTATTATTGTTTTCTTTACAAGCTTTTGACTTTGCTATATAAATTATAAGTATAATTTTTTTGTCAATTGAAAACGTGATTTTACATATACAAGTCTACTTTAAAATTATATAGTCACACAACATAATTTCAAGATCGTCACAAAGTGATAAATGTGATAAATCGAACTTCCATCATGCTTAATCCTCTCTGATGGTTAATGGTCTGGCCAACCTTTAATCTTTAGTTAGGAGCCCCATTTGATGGCACTGTGTTGCTTGTAGGGACACCTCAAGTGGTATAGTTGTAAATATTTCTTGTATATATTCTTTTTATTTTATCATCTTAGGCAACACTTAGCATTAGTACTGTGGAGAAAGAATTGCACAATAGAGTTGTTTTGAGAAGGCTCCTAGCTGTGTGTGAATATGGAGGCCTAGTGAAAGAATTGAGTATTGAGAACTCCTAGCTGTGTGTGGATACAGAGTATATTGTGAGAATTTGAGCAAGAAACCCTGAACTGTGTGCAGATACAGGGAAAATCTATATATTATTGGACTTTATTTTTATTTTTATATATATATATTGATTGGATACCCCATGAGCTGTATTTGAAATTACATGCTTGCACTAGGAAATTCTGGGCTTGTATAAAAACTAAGGATGTTAACCAAAATAGTCTTGAAAAAATCAATTTTGCCAAGCAATTTCGTATTTACAATATTCTTTATATCAATAGACTACCCAGAATTTTGGCTATTGGGTTAAAGTGTTCAAATAATTTCAGATATAATTTCAACAACTAATAAAATTGACTTTGGTAACTATGAAAAACTATTTCAGCATTTTGGATTTGGCAGTGATCATTTATTAAAAGAGGCAATTTCAGCCAACATGCTTAATAAAGACAGCTCAAATGAGATTATTTCTTCTACTTATAACACCCAAATAAATCAAAAAAACATCATAAATTAATCAAAACATAAATCATATTAAAAATATCATTCTTACATTTGTCAAATCAAAGGTATGCTAGGATACTTGTATTTGGTGTATTATAAATGAACTGTCAGGTTAACTTACAGTGTGATTCAAAAAAAAATGGTGGTCACAAAAATATTACATAACTCAACAATTACATAACATAATTAAATAAAAATATATTCATTTGAAAGCTGATATTCTATCACCATTTTTTCTAAAACTAATTCACATCTCCTTTTCATAGACATAATAATATTTTTAACCATCTCCTGGGGAATTTCTCCCATTCTTCTACCATAAATCTCTTCAATTCATCAACATTTCTAGGCATCCTTTTTTTCAACATTATTCTTCATAATGTACCACATATTCTCTATTGGATTGAGGTCAGGACTGTTGGATGGCCAATTAATAGTATTAATTCTATTTTCAGCAATGAAATCTTTTGCAACACATGATGTGTGCTTTGGATCATTATCCTGTTGCGAATGCCAGCTTCTACCATGCAACCTTCACACAGCAGGCAAAAGCTGAGTCTGCAATATGTTGATGTAATAAAGGCCATCCATAATATCAGTAAAACAAAATAATGGTATTTTACCTTTTAATGAAATCCCTCCCCATGCCATTACTTTTTGCCATGATTTCAGCAATCTGTGAACTGGTCTTTGTCCATCTTTGTGCCATCTACAAATTTTGTTATGAAAAAGATCAAATGCTGTCTCATCTGTAAAGATTGTATGGCTCCAATTGTCATTCAAATGAGCTTGTGCCCATGCTATCTGGGCTTCAAAGCAACAAGTTAGGATTGGAGTTCCAATGGGCACAGAACTTCTGTAGCCTTTTTTTTATGTGTTGCCAAACAGTAGGTTGTGAAATAGACACATTATGTGTTACTTGGAGTTTAATTGCAAGTTGGTGTGTTGAAATAGCAGTATTATGGCAAACAACTTGCCCGATGGAACATGACAGATTTTGTGTAACCTTCGATGGATGACCATTCCCACCTTTATGTTCAATAGAACCAGTTTCTTTTAGTTTTTTTAAGTTGTTCTCAATGGTACGAAGAGGGATGTTTGTTTACTAAACCAATGCTTTCGATGATAGAAATTGGAGCAAGTTCATACATTCCTTTTAAATTTTAAGATGCTTTTACAAGCTTGCTTTAAAAAACCAATTCGCTGATATTTGTTTTTGCAAGGATGCAATTTTGTTTAATCGCATTGTTTAATGCTATCTGGGCTTCAAAGCAACAAGTTAGGATTGGAGTTCCAATGGGCACAGAACTTCTGTAGCCTTTTTTTTATGTGTTGCCAAACAGTAGGTTGTGAAATAGACACATTATGTGTTACTTGGAGTTTAATTGCAAGTTGATGTGTTGAAATAGCAGTATTATGGCAAACAACTTGCCCGATGGAACATGACAGATTTTGTGTAACCTTTGATGGATGACCATTCCCACCTTTATGTTCAATAGAACCAGTTTCTTTTAGTTTTTTTAAGTTGTTCTCAATGGTACGAAGAGGGATGTTTGTTTTTTCATATATTTTTTTTGGTGAATGGATACCATTCATCCAAAAATGAAAAATAGTTTTACATTGTGCTTCTAATTTTGCATTAACCATTTTTTACAAAGCTTAAAAGTTAAAAGGTAAAGAAAAGACAATGCAATAACATACATGAATATTGATTATCATGTAAACAATCATATCCAATCATATTATCATATAAGTAAACAGTAATTTTTTTTAACAGGTTCAAAATAAGCAACCACCATTTTTTTTGAATCACACTGTATATTATTTCTATTTGCACATCAACTGAATTTTTCAAAGCTCCCAAAAAAATGCCATTAGAAAGTTATTTTATTTCAATCCCTATATTTATCCTCATCATAACATTAAACATTCTTCATATATCTATTCATTATCATCATTATACATAAAGTCAAGACTATTTCAACTATTTGCAGATCTGGTCAAAATAGGGGGTCAAAACTGATTTTTACTATGTAGTTGCCTCAAGTTGAAATATTTTGACTTTGTGGTTTTAATTTCGACTTCATGTATAATCATCATATACTTCATTTTTTATATTTTAAATAACAAATTGATATGAAACTCAAATTATTAAAAGAGAAACAAAAAAATAAATCTAAAGAAATTTATAATAAAATGGATGAGCTTGTTAAAAAGATTTCTTTGTTCTATATATGATGTGTTCCAACAAAGATTCTATGAAGAAGATACCCTAATTAATAGTAACTCAGTAATCTTTTGAGTAGCAATTCAAGCAATTTTTCAAGTAGTTCTCAAGGTAAGATTATTTCAATGTATAAATATCTGCTATTTTGATGAGAGGTTCATAGTAAATTAAATATTTTCATATCATATTAGCTTCAAGACACACTTCGTTTTCAGATCCAGTCATTCAGAAATTTAAAAACCTTTTTGATGAAACTATGCATAATAATGACCATAACAAATCTGAAATGATCTGAGTGGTCTTAAAAAGAAAAAAAAAAATAAAGGTTTTTGGGGAAAAGGCAATAGAAAATTTCTATAATGGGATGACAACTCTCAATTCCAGAGTTATAAGAGCAATCAATTCTTGGAAAGATCTCAAGACTAAAGAAAAAAATAAATCCACATTTAGCAATAATAATAATAATATTAATATTAATGAAGCTAGTGGCAATGATAGTGGTGATGGGGAAATAGATTATAACAATAGATTTTTACTGGTAAAGCCATAGTATAGGGTGTATATTAAATGGTCTAGTGGCTGTACATTCTCGCCCTTGCAACTCTACTGTGAGAAATAGTTACTCATTGGCCATATTCACAAATTAATTGAGTTGGGTTAAAATGTGGCTGACAATCATAATCCACGTTCACAAATTAATGGAGTTATGTTCCCTCAACTCTAGAGTTGTAGTCTAGTTGAAAATCACTATTAAAATTTCAACCCTGGGTGGACTCAGGGTAGGGTATTTGAGTTCAAAAAAATAAAAAATTAAAATATATATTTTTTTTTTAAACATCAATTTTTTTTTAAATATCAAATTTTTTTTAATCATATCTCTTTAATAAATATTCTAAGCAGCAACAGCATCATAAATAATAATGATGATATTAATGTTAATGGAAACAAAACCATAGTAATTTATTTAAAAATCAGATCTGTAGACTTGATCAAAAAAATTATTTGTGAATGTAGGTAGATTGTACAACTCATTAATCAACCCCAACTCAACTCAAATACAACCCCAACTCTCATTTCAAACTCAACTCAGTTAAGATGTGAATACGGCCATTATTATTTTTGTAACTTATACTGTGTATTTCACTTGATTAAATTATAAAAATGAATCAATTAAAACATTACGAAATATTACACTAATTTTATGTTGTGTAATGCAATTCTATAATTAACTTTTGCAGGGTTCTCTAATACTAATAAATTTTTTATTCATTTCGGAATTTTTTTATTTCTCTATTAATAACAATATTTTTTCTCTCATAAAAAATTTTATAATTATAATAATGAATTCAACAATATTGGAAAAGTATTTCAATGAAAATGAAAGATTTTTAAATACAGAAGAGAATAGTGATGTAAAAATTAATGTTGGTGTAAAACCAAATATTAAAGAAATCCATGCCCATTCATTCATTCTACAAGTTCATTGTCCATTCTTTAGAAATGCTTTAACCAATGCAACAAAAAAAAATGGATATTATATTATTGAAAAATCAAATATCAGTGAATCAATTTTTAAAGCTATTCTAAAGTAAGTATATAATCACAAAATTATTATTAAATTTTTTAATTTAATATATAATTAATTATATTTTATTTTGCTTTAAAGGTTTTTATATACTTGTAAAATTGAATTAGACAATTTTACTGGAGTTAATATTTTGGAAATATTAATTGCAGCTGGTGAACTTGGTCTTGAGTCACTTTATGAATATACAATGAATTATTTTATTGATAAACATGAAGATTATATAAAAGAAAATCCAATTAAAATTCTTAAATTAATTTATTCAAACAAAGAAACTTTTAAGGAATTTAAAAATGTTTATTTGGAAAAATTTTGTAATTATAGTGAAGAGTTATTTCAGTCAAGTGAATTTGAATTACTAGAAAAACCAATTCTATTGGAAATTCTCAAAGGAGATGACCTTTCTGTTGATGAGATAGTTATTTGGGAAAATATTATTAAATGGGGATTGGCAAAACATCCAGAAATCAATAATAATAATGTTGAATATTGGTCTTTGCAAAATTTTACAGATTTTGAAAAAACAATAAAAGAATTTATTCCTTTAATTAGATTCCGGGATATTTCTGGTGAGGATTTTAATGACAAAATCATGCCATACCAGACACTTTTTCCAAAAGCTTTATGGAAAAACCTTATGCAATATTATTTAGTTCCTAACAAGCAGCAAACTTCAAATTTATTACCATCAAGAATTTCAAAATTTGAATCAGCAATTCAAGAAATTGAATCAGCAACAATTAATCAAAAGCTTATATTGCTTTTTGCAAGTTGGATTGATCGAAAAATTCCACCATATACTTCATTCAGAAATGTTAAGTACAAATTTAAACTCTTATATCGCAGTAGTAGAGATGGTTTAAATGAATCTACTTTTCAT